ACTATTATTACCTAAAAAGGAATCGTCTGCACATCACTAGTGTACATAATTAATCAAATTGAATATTGTCTCGCCGTAATATGAGCGCTGCGGTCTACTGCACCCACGACGTGACGTCGAGATCTACTATAACAATATTGTCGTCTGCGGCTGCTTCCGAATTTACACCTTAATAATTTTCATAACGGTATAGTAAACTTTTGGGAATAAAGCGTTTTCTTACCATAAAAAATAGACAAATTTACTCGGAGATAAAGCAACTTTACTCGTGATGATTAAATAGGTACATACAGACATTCATCACGCCTATATCCTTTGCAGGGTCGGCCATTTACACCACGTCTGACAAAAGTTTGAGAGTCATTCAGAAGACTGTGTATAACCATAGAGACAGGTGGTCAGCCTGTCGCCTAAGATTGCAATAGACATCAACTGTCAAACCCCTTAGCCCCAAGCTCCACAGAGAGGACATAGGACATGCCCTACGACGCTTGAAGTTTGATATCGCGACGCTTTGGCGACGCTTGAAACGGTTTCCATATAAAATGTATGAAAACGTATTGACAAAGGCACACACAAGCGTCGCCAAAGCGTCGCATCTATGACAGCTAGCGTCAAAAATTAAGAAGAATGTTTGACGATTACTTGTCTGTCAACTGTAATTCTTACGTCCTATGCTCTTCGTCTTTTTAGTGGAGTTTGCGCCTTACTCGCTTCTTACGACACCCACAAAAAAGCAAGGGGTGATGCCATATTAAAGCCTTTATAAATCGGTTCGAAGCATCTAAGGTAATTGATCACACACAAGCGAAAAACAAACAAATATTTACTCGAACAAGAAGACTGATTGCTATCTCTCTCGTGTATTGATCTACCATTCTGATTCGTAAAGCACTTTCCAACTCCTGTGATCCAAGAAACGTTGATGTTTACTTTTCCTAATTGTTTAACTTCGCATCATTGTTTCAGTATCACATAAGACATCTTATTTCAGCACCTTTACAGACTTGTCGACGTCTAATTAGGAATAGAGATGAGCGGTGGGTATATACAATATCTACTTGTTTGGGTAATAGGGTAAATACCCATATACACCCTAATGGGTGGATAGTAAGGTGGATAGATTGCAAAATAATCTTTTTATACACTATTGTCATTAATATTGTTACTTACAAAAGTTCTACTGTGATTGATTGTTCATAAAGACCCGAGCACCATCCGAACAAGTCAATTTGTTTAGGGGGCAAGAAGTCGAATTGTATTTTTTGAAATTTTGATTGACCATGTTCCTTTGGGGAAAGTTGTTCAGTTTCATTGGCTAGTTCATCGCTTAAAATATTTGCAGTTAATTTTTTTACACCTAAGACGGGTGCACGGGACGGTTTATCAAAAACTTTGCAGGCATACTCTGACCGTGAAACTCGAAAAACTTTTCTGTGGAGGCTATGTTAAAGGCGATTTTTTTATTATCTCCACTATACATTTTATTTACCCACCAATTTGGGCGCATACAGGTATTTGCCGGGTACGTATGGGTATATACCTGGTAGTTGGGTAAATATCCGGTTACGTTTCTATCTCTAGTTAAGAACTTTTGCTTGATTGAATTCTTACATCTTGGAAATCAATTAAAACTTTCTGCTTTCTCATTTCTTATTTGCTAGGTAGAGTCGTTATTTTGTTCACTAAGTAAACAAAATGAGTCTTTACCACTTGATTGATTCATTCTAAAGGTAAGTTTCTTTCTTTCTTCTAGAAGAAAATATTTGCATTTCCCTAACATTTATTAGTCTTTCACCTTTAAATTTTGTATTCTTGGGTGGTAATTATACCTATAAAGTTTAGCAGGTCGTTCGTGGATTCGGTGTCCCAAGATTATACCTACAAGGCCACTGTATGTAGCGGAATTTACAAAATCCTGGTCCTACGTATATTATTTGCCCACATCAAAGATTATTTGCATTATTGTGAGTCTGTTGTCTTTATATTGTTTTATTATCGTTGTTCTCAAATCAAATCTTTTATAGTTTGCTGTACACGCACTTTTTTGTCAATGTGTCCGATCGAAACTTATTTTTTATCGACATAAATTCGTCTATAAAAATTGTTTCATTACACGCTTCAAGCTACAAGTTAACGATGTTTTCATTTTCACTGCCATACCAGACAGCCCACGTGGCTCAGTGGTAGTGCGACTGCCTGCGAACCTAAAGGTCCCGGGTTTGATTACAGGTGGGTCGCTGACAAAGTTCTTTATGTATGTTTTTAGATGTTCGCGATTGTTTACAACATTTACATTATTGTTTTGAACGGGATAGCTTACGGAACTATAGATTAGGGAACGCGGTAAGATTATTGATTAACTCCTTATAAGGTCCATTATTGTAACTTTTTGAATTTGTTCCCAGTCTGGTTAGGACATTGCAGTTTGAACCACCTGATTACCCTAAAGGGTTCTTGTTTTGGAGGGCACGTTAAGTCGTCGGTCCCAGTTGCTGTCTATGATGATTACTCAGACGGCGGTCGTTATACAACTATGTCAGACAGAAGCCTGCTACTTGTAGTAAACGGTGGAAATTTTTTGACCAATATTTCACGACTTGGAGTTGTTTAACGAGATTGATGGATCATAGGCTCGTGTAGCATGTAAATGCTTCTGTTTTCAACAACGGGCTCATTAACTGTTTTTCTGAGTTGGCTTTTTTGTTGTCTCTCCAAGTTTGTTGCAGACTCATGCAGGGTACGCGCGTTTTGGTGCGTGTAACGGAGTGGCTCAAAAAAGGTTATCAATAAACTGAGTGTGGCACAGAGGGCTATGGAAAGGAACATGATAGGAGTATGCCTATGATAGGACCGAGTGACCAACAAGGCCTTAAGGAAACGGAATAAGGTCATCGACATCAGTTAAAAAGTAGCGAAGCTGAAGTGGGAGTGAGCGGGTCATATAGCCAGAAAATCTGAGTCGTGGTGCAAAAGACTATTGGAATGGAGACCCTGGGACCAGAAGCGACCTAGAGGAACATCAAAAAGGTGGTGGGCAGCAACTGGACTCTTACTGCCCAAAACAGAAGGAAGTGGAGAAGTTTGAAGGAGGCCTACACCAAATCTTTGGTTGATGATAGCTAGAAAGAAAAAGAAAGAACGGAGTGGTGTAAAAGTTGACTTTATTTTGACTCGAACATATGTTTCTTGTCAATTAGTTTTAGATGCACCTCTGAACAATTCAACACCCAGACAATACTATAAACAATAACTTAATCTAAACATATGGAAAGGCGATGATAACGTAATGTTTCAATGCAATGCTGCAATAAAGAAAGTGAAATTTTAGTGCCTATTGCAATTCTTATGAGTTGATATTGCCTATTGAATATTAGGTACCTATTCACCTGTAGGGTGACCATCACACACACAATGAGTTTAATAAACCGTTCATTTTAGGTGATTCATACAAAGGATTCATAAGTTTTATTTTGTTTTTACCAGACTGCCTCAGAAGGAGGGTTATGATTTTCGAGAGTATGCATGTATGTATGTGGACAAGAAAATTCTTTTTCATGGGCTACAGCCCAAACGGATGGCTGGATTTTGACATATGAGGTGTCGTTGGATTCGTCTCAGCAGCGCGAGTGACACTGGATATATTAAAAATTATAGATTGAAGATGGCAGATTTATAGAGCAAAATACTTCTTAAAAATTACCGCAGTCGGGTTTTTTGGTTTTTAACACATCTACTTGTTGCCATATAAACAAAAATATAGAACATGGTTAAATTGTTTGAAAGTCTACTTCTCTGTCAAAGTTAACCGGTAAGTTTTATCGATTTACGATTGAATCGGCCTTGTCAATGTGATCCAAAGTAACCAGCAGCCGGTTAGCCGGTTACTACACTCATTAATATTTTGTTAAACAGATGTTATTATTGGGCAATAATAATTTATAATGATTTGGCGACCGGATATTGCGACTATACCTAGATACTTTGTTAGGAACGTACGTCAAAAGAGCTCTCCTGCATTTTCTTTGTTTTTATTTGAGAACCAATATGCGTGGAAGTAACAAAAAAAATGAAAATAAAGAAGGTTAAATCAGTCTCCGTTTCTCTCTATCTCTGATGTCCTTTTATTCCTTTATTTATGTTTTGCAACAAAATAAAATATATTTGATGTGATTTGATTTGATGTCCTTACCTCCTAATAAGGTAAAGAACGAAGAGTATAGATGGCGCCCTCCACATTCTTAGTTTAAACTTTTTCATACTAATAATATAAAACGGTTAGTAATACCTAAGCATGCAACATTTTCTTTATAATAACGTGGCCCTGAATAGTTCCTCATTGGCAGCAAAAAGATGAAAGAATATTTGAAATCGGTGCTGAAGTTTCGGAATTTATCGATAACCTACATAGAATAAAAGAATGGAAATCTTTCCTCTTTATTATTAGTGTAGATGTTCCTCTTAACTGCATTTTGGTTGTTCTTAATAAATAACAGTTCCTAGAGTGCGTCACATAGTGGGTATACATGCATACATATATCACACCTATATCTCTTGGGTTATAGTGGGCGGGGTGGGTAGAGCGTAAACAGCTGTAAAAATTGCCATTTACACCACATCTGACAAAAGCTTGAGAGTCATTCAGAAGACAGGCTGAGAACCATAGTGACAGGTTTTCAGCCAGTCGCCTAAAACTGCAATACACATCAACTCTTAACTCAAATACCTAAGCTTCTTACGACAACCGCGGGATAGATATGGGTGATATTCTAGGGCGGTACTACACGGCATTATACCTTGAACTAAACCAGTATTTTATGAAGAAAGAGTAAGTAATGTATTGCCACCGGACGATGCGTCTTCGGGATACACTTTTACTCGCATTCCTAATACGTGCTGTGAGTTTCTCCGCGTGATCGTCATACCGATGCGACCGTCTCGCCGTGTCCGATCCAGTGATAGTTGCAATTACAACACTGATTCACTTATGTGGTTGACAGACGATGTGGCGCAGTGGTAGTGCGACTGCCTGCGATGCAGATGGTTCCGGGTTCGATTTCCGGTGCGGGAATCGCTTTACAAAGGTGATAATTTATCACTTTGTAAATTTGTTTCCAGTCTGGTTAGAACATTGCAGGTTGAACCACCTGATTGTCCAAAAGCTTATATACCCGCATTTTTTATTGCTAGAGAGCATTCTGTAATTCTTTTATTTTTGTGCTTCTATACTAACTTATACACTGATATCATTTGGCATAGACCAGAGTGCCTTAAAAGCAGTTTCCATTGACTTGCTGCCCATACCAAATACCAGTCAGCTGTCTCTAAAATTGGACAGTGTGGTTTACCATACCACAGGGACAAGTTGGCAACCTCAAAGTTTAGGTTGTTAATTTCCATAATTGCTGGAGAGAACTTTCTGTGATTTGAATGCAGTTTCTATCGACATGTTCCCCATATATAAACACCAGTCAGCTGTCTCTAAAATTGGACAGTGTGGTTTACCATACCACAGGGACAAGTTGGCAAATCAAAGTTTAGGCTGTTAATTTCCATAATTTCTAGAGAGAGCTTTCTGTGATTCTTTTTATTTTTGTGCTTCTACTAGCTCATACACTAAAATCATATGGCATAGACCAGAGTGCCTTGAATGCAGTTTCCATGGACTGTTTCCCATACCAAACACCAGTCAGCTGTCTCTAAAATTGGACAGTGTGATTTACCATACCACAGTAGCAACCTCAAAGTTTAGGCTGTTAATTTCCATAATGGCTAAGGAGCTTTCAGTGATTCCTTTTATATATTGTGCTTCTACTTCTACTAACTCATACGCACACTGATATTATAAGGTACAGACCAGAGTGCCTTGAATGCAGTTTCCATCGAGTTGTTCCCCATACCAAACACCAGTGAGCTGTCTCTAAAATTGGACAGTGTGATTTACCATACCACAGTAGCAAGATAACAACCTCAAAGTTTAGGTTGTTAATTTCCATAATTGCTAGAGAGAGCTTTCAGTGATTCGTTTTATTTATTGTGCTTCTACTACTACTAACTCATACACCCAATGATATTATAAGGCATAGACCAGAGTGCCTTGAATGCAGTTTCCATGGACTGTTCCCCATACCAAACACCAGTCAGCTGTCTCTAAAATTGGACAGTGTGATTTACCATGGCGCCGGGCGAGACATGTTTATGGTTGCATGTCTGGTTGTAAACTAAGCAGTGATTCGATAGTTGGTAGGATTTCCGATTCGATTACTATATTATGCTGCTATATTTTCTGTGCTATAGATTATCTTACCAAAATATGTTCATGTTCAGAATTTTGTTAGATGTCGCTGACAATGCAATAACGCAATAAGGTTTACCTGCAAATAAAACAAAAAGATTTTAAAAATGTAAACGATTGACTTCAAACCATTTTGGATAAACATAAGAGAAAACATTAATAATTCAGATAATGATCTCATGAGAACTTGCTGTGTGATGCCGGCTTAGAAAAGCACTCCAATTCTACCCGAGTGTGTCGTATAAAGCGACTAAGAGTTAATTATCTAGGGAATGGGCATCAGCATTCCTTGTGAATAAAACATTTTGTACAGCGCTCACCAATCCGCCTGCCAAGCGTGGTGAGTAGGTATGGCGATACCCCCCGAGAAGGAGAGTGCCGTGTCCAGCAATGGACTGTTGTGGCTGTAAAGGTAAAGGTAGTGCTCTAAGAAGAGTCACTGATAATCAGTTTGACTGTAATATTTTGTCTACGGAACCTGGACGGACCCCGTATCTACGTAGTTACTGACGACTGTTCGAGAATTATATTCATACCTACGTATGTTATTGACAAAGTGTATTTCAGTAAATATTTGAATCATTTATAGGTAAGTACCCGGTCATGTAACGGATGAAAGAGTTTCCTAAACATATAGTCCTAGACAAACAAGCGTCGAAAATTACATAAAACTCTCCTGTGTTGTTAAGAGATGAGGATACCGTGTCATGGGAATGTATAAGCTATAAACAAGTGAAATCAAAATTTTAATTTTCAAAAAACCCACGACAGTTTACTGCAGCGCCTCGTTGTGACTTTTTCGCATATCAACTAGCTAATAAAATTCCCCAGTCACATCTTCATCTATCACTGAAAACCGCTTCAAAATCAGAACCGTTGTTTTGGAGATAATTGGTAACATTGATTTGCACTTGTAATTGGCGATAAAAATCTACCGTCTTGAATTTATAAAGTCTTTAGATAGCCAGTGTCACTCGCGCAGCGGCTGTAGCTCGTGAAAACACATTTATTTGGCAAAATACATACATACTCTCGAAAAGCATAAGGGAGACAGTCCGGTAAAAACTCTGAGCTCTGGGTTCATTTGGTTGTACGCCGACTCAAAGTCCCACGTCATATATGAATTAATGAGTAAGCTTCGTTGGTAAGCTTACAAAACAATTAATGAGTACAAACGTAACTACTATTGATATAGTACATGTTTATTTAGCACAATGGTACTGGTTGTTCACTTACATAATTGATAGTGCTATTATGACGAACTGTTATAACAATGCCAAGAGTCAACATACGGGATATTGAATCAAAAGCTTCCCTGTTCTGTAGAAAGCATCCATAACCAAACCATAACAGCCACAATAGTCCACTGCTGGACATGGGCCTCTCCCTATAGCAATACTCACCACGCTTGGCAGGCGGATTGGCGAGGATAGGACCAGATGTTGCATTAACAGAGAACGCTGCTGCCCATTACCTGGATGAATATCCCGTAGTCGCTTTTTAGGACACCCATAGGTAGAATTGGGGTTATGCTATTCTAAGCCGACATCACATGGCTGTAGATAGCATCATAAGAAAAATTGTACAAAACTATATTAACTGGAAGAATTGCGAGCAATCTTATTTTTTTAGTACCTATCTAGAAGTTCGCGACGAATTGAGAACCTCAACCTCTTTTGTTCCGCTATTTAATATCCGAAGACTAGGACTAGCACAAGGAATAATAAAACGTTTTCCTTTTTTCACTTTTAGTTTAGTGTAGGCAATTTTTCATTTAAGTACCTAAATAAAGAAAATGTTTCGGATGGTTGATTGATTGACAACTCAGTAGGAGGACGTAATCTCTTTCACGTCATGAAGGTAGTAAGTAGGTACTTTCGTACGTTCTTCGTTTCGTATTTACTTTCTTGTTCAATGAAATTGTATTTAGAAGTCAAAGCCTGTTTCAAATCAGTAATGAGCTTTTTTAAAATAAATATGGGATTTAGCCAACATCAGGTCGTCACGTTCGAGACGAGCATCAAGGAGGAAAAGAACAGAAAATCTATGTGCCCTTTAATCCTCATTTTACTTAAAAATGCAAACAGGCCTCAGTGTATTAAAAAAAGAATCATAGGTCTACATGCATTATTCAGGAAAAAAATACGGGTATGATTTTGTATGAAAAGGCGGAAAACAAACAGGTCCACTCGAAAAATGACCTGATTTCTAAACGAAAAATGACCTTTTCGCAAAAGGACCTAACACTTAAACGCAGGCGTCGCTAGATTATCTTCATAAGGGGTCAAGTTATACCTGCTATACTAACTCTATGAAAATCCAATATAAGTCGATTCCTTCACCGGGTAACACGAGTTGCTGATAGTGTTTTCGCCATTACATCGGCCTAAACATTAGGCGACCTAATTATATTAGTTGTTCATACAAATAATAAGAAAAGCCAGAATAAGTTGATCCATAAATGGATACCTGGAGGTGGATTTGCTAGCGATAGTAGGTACACTCAAACCTTTAGTTTCTCTATCATTCGTAGTCCAAGCACGTTCCGGGCCCGAATGAAAAAGGCTTGGTTATTAATTAATATACATATTGTGGGGTCACGCAAGGCGGTATTTTGGCTCCATTGTTGTTAAGTTCGTTTATGTTTAAGTGTGATAAGCATAAGCCGATTCTAGTTGCTGGGGTGAGGGTAATGTCATAAAGTAAGTACTCGCGTACAGACATACAGCTATATACAAGGAAAAGTCACTACACTCACACAAATATCTACACGCCGTCGATTACATGTGAAACCAAACCGACTCAAACCGGCTAGTAGTTTAGTGTAAAGAGCGTTCAATGCGCGCAGGCGGCAAAATTTTTGTTTAGTGTAGGTAAGTGTAAATATAAAACTGATTTTAAAAATGTCATAAATCATAAAACATTTATTGTTTGTCATTACAGGTAAAAAGTAAATGCTCCGTTCGATTCCTCACTTTTCCCGTACAATGCGGCACAATAGTATTTCCTTCTGTCTGGTGGCACAATGACAGTGGTACAACCGCACAGACCGCAACCGTTCCCACGGGAAATACGGAGCTGTCCCAGATTTGTTTAACCTCACAACGAGTTATTATGCACAAAGGAAATTGAGTGGAGCAGTCGAGGATTACTGGTTGGAGGTGAAAATCAAGTGGATGCAAAGGGATTGTGAACGAGCAAGCATTGATTATGCGCAATGTGTGGATTCGCGTACTTACTGGTGGTAACGGTGGCAACACGTAGGGAAGGCGTAGCTACATACATACATATCACACCTATGTCACTTGCGGGACCGAGATGGATTAACATGCCCTCAAAGCACGGAATCATTTTTTTACGGGCATCCTACCATATTCTTACCAGACTGAGAACAAATTCACAAAGTGGTACCTAAATATAAACTTTGTGAGTGTCCTAACGGGAATCGAAACCGTGCCATTTGTGTCGCAGGCAGTGGCTTACCACTACGCCACATCCAGCCTCCACAGCAAGTTCCACAGAATAGACGCGCGACGCGACACGCAATGGGACATCTGTCAGACAAGCGATCGACATCCTTTATCGATGCCACGCGCGTCTCACGTATTTAGCTTTGTCTCTTCTGTTTCGTACATTTTATAAGTACCTATATGGAAACGGTTTAAAGGGTCGCGATGTCGCACGTCTCGCGTCTTTGAAGATCACTTGTTTGACTGATGTCATCTTACTTCTCACGCTTCAAGTCTACTCTGCGGAGCTTGCGCGATATATGTA